ATAGATCTTATAATAAGTAATAGTATTTTTCATCAAATATTATTTAAAAAAACGTTGTTAATTATTAATTTTTAACAACAGTTTAAAAATTTTATTACAAAAAAAGTCACTAATTATAAGTTTTAGCGGCATATTAAAAAATACGTCACTGAAAAATTTCACTAATTGTAAATTATTTTTAACGACGATTTTATCAAGACTTATTTCCAATAAAACTTGATGAGAATTAAATTCAACTATTAAGATTTAAGATAAATTACCAATAAGTCTTAATAGTTGGATTTATTTCCCATCGAGTCCTATTGAAAATAAATCCTAGTAAAATCGTCGCCAAAAATAATTTTTTGCAATGATTTTTTTTGCATGTCGTTAAAAATTGACAATTAGTGACTTTTTTTATCACGATGTTCATAAATCATTACTAAAACTTACAATTAGTGACATTTTTCTGTAACATTTTTTCAAACTGTCGTTAAAAGTTTTAAAAATTAGTGACGTTTTTTGTGATTTTTTTAAAACTATCGCTAAAACCTATAATTAGCGACTTTTTTGTGATAAAATTTTCAAACTATACTGAAAATTAACAATTAGTGACTTTTTTTAATAGTGTTTGATGAAAAATGTCATTAATTATCATAAAATCTATTGGATAATAAATCTACCTATTAAGACTTACCTGTAAATTCCTATAGGACTTATTGGTAGTTTACCCCAAATAGAATCTAATAATTGGACTTAATTCCCACCAAATCCTATTAAAAATAAGTCATAATAAAATCGTCGCTAAAATGATTTTTTGTGATGATTTTTTACACATGTCACTAAAAATTGAGAATTAATGACTTTCTTTTGTCACGATTTTTATAAATTTTCACTAAAACATACAATTAGTGACATTTTTCTGTGACGAATTTATCAAACTGTCGTTGAAAGTTGAAAATTTGTGACGATTTTTTTAAACTGTCAGTAAAACGTGTAATTAGTGACATTTTTTGTGACAATTTTTAAATTATTATTGAAAATTAAAAATTAGTATGTTTTTTAATATCATTGGATAAAAAATATCACTAATTATCATAGGATTTATTAAACAATAAATCCAACTATTAAAATATACAGCTGATTCCCCATGGCCTACCTTAACCCATGAGAAGATAAGTCTGTTTATGACAGTTTGGTGTCTTTCCTTGCAAGTAATATGATTGTTCAGGAAGTCTAGACGAACAGAACTTCTAATTGTCTGAGACTTCCATAATGATAAGGTCCTCATCTTGATGAGTTTTACTCCATCAATAATGTTGACTTACTATTTGTCAAGAATCTACCACCACCTTGAAACTGTGTGCTTCTGAAAACGTGTTGTGTATGCATAGAGGTGCACAAATGCTCCTTTATGTTCGGAGGCTGAAAATTGTGAGAATATTATCGGAATATTGTTGAGGTGTTCAATTATCCTTTCGTACTTGATGTCGGTAAATGTGGGGATATTGAAAATTTATTGAGTTGTCCAATTGCCCTTCTATGCTTGATGCCGGTAAATGTGGGGATGTTGTTGAAAATTTATTGAGGTGTCCAATTGCCCTTCTATGCTTGATGCCGGTAAATGAGGAAATAATTTCCAAAATGTGATAGGTACACAACTGTTCTTTTGTACACGGTAGCCGGTAAATGTAAGAGTGATATTGAAAAATGTGATAAGTGCCCAATTGCCTTTCTGTACTCGATAATAGATACAAATAGGAGTATTTGAGAAACATATTGTGGATTTTGTTACAAAAGAGGTTTTTTAAACGTTTAACAAAAGTCCTAGTGTTGAGTTGAACATGGGTTGCATGTTTACATCAAGTATTGCATTTTTAAATAATGAAAAGTTATTAGTCTTGTGCATGACATATGCATTGCATGATCGTAATCATAAGAAGTTCATATATATTGTTAAGATAATTCCTGTCCTGCTGAGCGTCATAACTCACTTCTTTTATGGACCGGACAAAAGTTCTAGGTAGTGATGATGTGTCTCCACCCTGCTAGGGAGCTTGTGGAGATCTTGTTGGAGCACGGAAGCTCCTTTTGATGATTACTTGTCTATAGTTACTGAGCTTACTTTTCTGGGATAGTGTTTCATTTTTTGTGTAATCAAGGCCCTAACCTTGAAAGGTATAAACTTTTAGAGCATTTCTATTATATTCTTGTATCTCCCTATTTCATTAAATGTATTGTTATCTTATAAGAAATTAATGAGAAGAGATGCACTTTGTTTTGTGAGATTATTGTATTTTATTTTATTTATTCACACTTTATATCATGAAATTGGTAATTCATAAAATAAGTTATAAATAGTGGGGCGTTCCACGTCTAGTCATTAAGTAACCAATCCATCCAAATCTTATGGCCTATCGAACCATAGGGTGTTCTAGTCCAATCATTAGGCGACTAATCCATCTAGGTTCAATGAACTATTTAGCACTCTTATCTAGGTCAAATGGCCCATCTAATCATAGGGTGCTCTTCAGCATCCTACAATGGCGGAGGTTGGGGTTTGGGTTGAGTCACAACTGGTTATAGTGCTGGTTGTGTACCCTCTAAGGAAATAATGGTGTACCCTAACTACAAACTATAGCTTTTAGTACAACAGGAGAGTGCTTGATCCCACTAGCACCTTCATCAGCTTCCCTCATGTTTTCCCCGGCCTTTTTGAAAGTTTCCTAAAAGAAAGTGGTTGTAAAAGGTCCCCCAATAAAGATGAATAATCCTACATAGTTTAGTCAAGAGTGGGATGGATTATCCCTCCATGTGCTCTAAGATAAGGACCTTTTTAGAAATAAGGGCGTACATAATCCTCTAAATTTAGCTCGTTGAATGTCACAACAATTGCTGCATGTTTACAAAGTATGTTGGATATCTCACACTCTTCACACAATTCCAACTTCCTAGGTGAACCAAGTATCTTACTCATTTGTCCATGATCTCATGCTCATCACCTCCAGGAAACTGAACATGGCATCCCATTGATGCTCTACACCAGTTTGGTATTTCAATTGAATTCTTCCTTCCAGCATCGTAAGAATTGATTTGCCCCTCAAGTTTTCCACCCCACTATTAAAAGACTCAACCCAAATTATTAGAGATACGATCACTCCTAACTATACTATAAAAGACATGCCTTGACCATTAACCATACATTGGAAAAACACACAATCGGCACCCAAATCAAAACCGATCGAAACCTTAACCCAAAAGCTACAAGATTACTCCAAAAACAATAAATTAATTAATTAAATACTTATAGCACTCCAGTATTGATGGCCACCGGTGAGGGATTGTAACTAACATTTATGTAATCTTCACTCTCTCACTCTCTCTCTGCTCTTTAGTCTATTGGTGCTTCGACAATGAGAAATAAAGTGTCCAACACTATTAGGTTTGTTTATATAGTAAGGGCATTTTTGTCTTTTCGTCAGCAATGATATTTTCTCAATAAAATTTAATTTATTTTTGTAAGGCTATTTTGATTTACCTCAAATGTTCACGCTACCTTCACATGGAAGGGCAACGTAATTTCAAAAATTAGAGGTGAGAGTCAGTGTAATTATTTAGATATCTCAGAAACAATTCATGTAATTAACTTAATAATTTATTATTTAATTGAAGTCTTGGTTTAATGTATTATGGAAGCTATTGTAAAACGGAAACTAGGATTTAAATGCCATTGACTATAAAAAAAAATGTCTTATTACTTGCTTAATTAAACTTTTAGGCAAGATTAGCTGTCAAGGTTCAAAGAAAAATATGAATGTTGGCGTGCTTGCATGTCTGGATGCAAAAGGTTGGTTCCAAATCTTTAGCCAAAGACTTTCATTGTCACTATGCAATTTGCCTTGGAAAAGCAATGTATATGGATATGAGGGGTAGGTCATATGTGTATATATATATATATATATATGTATATAAAATAAAAACATGAAGAGAAACCTAAACCCCTTTTCCAAGAGCAGCATGTGCACAAAACAACCTCAACAAAAAGACGATAGAACCAATCAAATCCATTCTAATGGAACATTTTCACGTTTTCCGCCTTTGATTTGACCTTCTTTTAATTGGTGAATTTAGGCTTATTTTGGGCACATGGTTAAAAATCTGATTTTTTAGTTTTTTTTTTTTAAAAAAAATGTAAAAAAATATAAAAAATGATATGACCCAAAATAAATTATAAATTAATTTTTAACTTTTTTAACTCTTCCCAAACGAAACAGTTATTGCATTCAAAAAACATTTAAGCACTTATTCTAAAACTTTGCCCATACTGAGGTAGTTTAATTGGCGTCATCAATAATAGTGATGATTATATTATTGAATTTTTTTTATATAATTAAATGTTTAATTTAATGTAAGTGCATTATTACTTCTGATTATGGGATCTTAAGATCAACTCCCCTATAAATTTGTTGTGATTGTTGTTTTTTTTTTCATGCTTGTGGTTATGTGATTTTTTTTATATAATTGAATGTTTAGTTTTAGCACCAAAGTGTTTAGTTTAACATAATTATCATCATTTTTGTACATCAACTACCCACTAACCAAAAAACTACAAAAAAAAATAATTTTTATAAACAATTAAATAAGTATTATAAAATGATGCCCTCAATTGTTGTTTACCGTAAAAAGTTGAGGGTGAAAAGTAGGGAACTATGAAACTAGGGAAATCAAGAACTTCAAATAGGCTGCTCTTATAACAAAAACTAAGGACTTTGATGTGTAGATATGGAGACATGTTTTGACATTTTTATAGTATATTGCTAAGATTGATATAAAGTAAGATTGATTAATGATAAAAGAAAAGGAAGAACACATGAGATGTCCTGAAGAAAAGGCCAAAAGAAGCACCCTATTCTAGATTTGGTCACCATCACTGAGGTCATGGCTCCAACAGCTTATAGCTTCTCTTCTCTTAAGGATTAGATCTGAACTCAATATGTCATCTTCCAAGTAACAACTAACAATGAACAAAAATGGCATAAGCATAACAAACTCAACTGCAAAGCTATATATGTACAGTGTTACAACTGGGTTGTTAAAACAACCTTTTTATGTATATAATAACAACATTTTTAAGGGGTCTAATGGTACATACATTAATACAGAGGCAGTTTTACAACATTTGAAGTGGCAAAGAGCGGAAAATTTGGGAGCTGAATCAATCCATCAGGCCCCCTTCTTCTTCTTCTTCTTCTTCTTCTTCTTCTTCTTCTTTCAAAGAATTTTTTCTCTTTCTTTTTTTTTTTTTCTTTTTTTTCCCTCATCTACTGCTTACCGACACCAAGCTCATTGCCTTCTTTAATGCTCATCTCTACCCCTCCTTCGACTGCACAAAAACTAGCATCATCAGTAGCAATGGTGGAGGTTGAATCGATCCCAGACCCCGCTTGGATTTCCTTGAACATAGCCATGACTTGAATCATTGTTGGGCGTCGAAATTGCCTGTCATCCAAGCAAGCACAAGCTACCTTCAAGTGTTGTAGAAGCTCCATTTCTAAGCTTGGGTCCTCCTTCATTAGCTCAGGATCAAAAACATTGCTTATTTTCATTTTCGCGTGCTGCTTCACCCACCCTACCAAATTGTTGTCGCCAAAATCCGCTGAATCTGTTGGTTGCTTTCCTGTTAGCAATTCAAGCAAAACTACACCATAACTGTAAACATCACCTTTGGTGGAACATCTAAAGCTCTGATAGTATTCAGGAGGGACATAACCAGGAGTCCCAGCTAGTGTGCTGACACTCAAGTGTGTGTCCATTGCACTCATGAGCCTTGCCATACCAAAATCAGACACTCTGGCTTCCAAGTTCTCATCAAGCAATACATTGCTCGACTTCATATCCCTGTGAATTATATGTGGAATGCAGTTATGGTGAAGAAAAGCTAATCCCCTCGCAGCCCCAATTGCAATTTTTCTCCTTGCAGCCCAATTTAGCTTGATCCCAATTTTCTTGCGGTCATGTAAAACATCTTCTAGGCTTCCATATCTCATGTACTCATACACCAAAAGCCGTTCCTCTCCCACCTTGCAGTAGCCCAAGAGAGGAACAAGGTTTCGGTGCTTGATTTTCCCAATGGTTTCCATTTCAGCAGTGAATTCCCGATCCCCCTGTCCACTGATATGTATGAGTTTCTTAATAGCTACAGTGCTTCCATCCTTCAAGTGGGCTTTGTATACATCACCAAAGCCACCAGAGCCGATAAGGCTGTCATTGTGGAAGCCATTGGTGGCTTCAAGAAGATCTGCAAACGTCAGCTTCCGAAGGGGCTTCTCAAACGTGGCGAGATTAATGCTTAACGCTTCACGTGCACCGGTTAGTTTCCAACTGGTGTTTGCAGTGCCAGAATGGGAATGACCATCTATATATGCTTCAAGTGCAGCATCCTTCTTTTTCCTCCTTTTCTTGCTTTCAATAGCTACTATTATCAAACCAAAGATGCAGAAAAGAGAGAACAATAACCCCATAGCCACGCTTCCTGCTAGGGATGCTTGTTTCCTATGAGACTTCTGATGCTGGTTTGAACTAGCGCTTGAATCTGCCCCACAAGCAGAAAGAGGGTACCCACAAAGTCCCGAATTATTAGCGAATCTAAAATCAGGAAACGTGTCGAAAGGATTCGATTGAGGAATCATTCCAGAGAGATTGTTGTTTGACAGATCGATATCACCAAGCTGTGAAAGGCCGGACAACGATGGTGGGATCGACCCATTAAGCCGATTATACGAAAAATCAAGAATTGCAACCGACTTCAAGCCTGAAAGCTCTTGAGGAATGGGACCAGAGAGACTATTATGCCCCAAATTCAATACAGAGAGATAGTACATGGACCCAAGCTCCTTTGGAATACTACCCTCCAACAAATTGTGAGAAAGGTCAAGCCAAATCATCGATCCATTGTGATTGAATGTGGGTTGGGTGATCCCTTTGTAAACTCTAGTGAAGTTGCAAGGGTGCCTGCTCGAAATCCTGTCCAACTGCTCCGGCCTGATTCCTCCAAACTCAAGCAAATTCCCAGCTCCATGGCACTGCTTACTTCCATCATTCTTGATATAAATATACCTCTTCCCAGTGAGCAAACCCACGGCTATATTCCCAGATTGCTTGAACAGAGCAGGTGGGATAGTCCCATTCAACATATTCGTATTGAGATCCAACCATATCAGACTCCGACAATCCCCTAGCTCTGCCGGGATCCTACCAGCGAAAGAGTTGTTTCCAAGCTTGAGGATTGCCAAATTAGCCAACCGGCCCAACGAGGCCGGAATCTCACCGGTCAGCTGGTTATTTGACAATGAAATCCAATTCAATTTGGTACAATTGCTCAAACTATCGGGGATTGTCCCTCTTAAGTCATTGAAATCAAGAATCAAATTCTCCAAAGTCTGAATATACATCAACTCTGGTGGGATTTCCCCAACCAGTTGATTCAACCAAATCATCAAATCCCGGAGCTTGGAGAGGGAACCCAAGCTAGCAGGGATTCCCCCAGTGAGGAAATTGAAGCTCAGATCAAGAGAAACCAGCTGAGTACAGTTACTCAGACTCTCCGGTATCGGACCTGCCAACTTATTGTTCTGAAGATACAGAACTTTCAACATGTTCCCAGGATCTTGACAAATACCAGGAGGTATGAACCCACTAATGCTATTAGAACTCAAATCCAGTGACTCTAGATTTGTCAAGTTTGAGAACAAATCAGGCAAACCACCCTCAAATTTGTTAAATGCTAACGAAATGTTCTTCAAATTACCCATTTTGACTAGAGTCCCAATCGGTAACTCACCAGAAAAGTTGTTATTGGAGATGTCAAGAGATTCCATGGCAGAGCAGGACCCCAAACTATCAGGAACAGAGCCAGACAAATTGTTGAAAGAAAGATCCAACTCCACCAGACCATTCGAGCTCGAGCACAGAGACCCAGCAAGCTGGGATGGTATTTCGCCATAAAAATCGTTCTTAGACAGATACAAGAACTTCACAGACCCGACTGGAAGAGCCGGGACTGTGCCGGTGAACTGGTTGCTGGTGAGGTTCAAGAAGGAGATGCTCTTGCAGGAGGAGAGAGAAAGTGCGACGTCGCCGGAGAACTTGTTTGACGACAAATCGAGGTGTTGGAGGGAAGAGCAATCCCCGAATGAAGGAAACCCAGTAGTAAGATTGTTACAAGAGAGATCTAAGTACTCCAAGTTCTTGCAATCGAGTACGGGAACGTCGCCGGAGATTTTGTTTCCTTTGACGGACAAGTACTGGAGCTGGCCGCAGCCGCCGGAGAGAAGCCAGGGGAGGACGTTCTGCCCCAAAATCTTGTTGTAAGATAGATCTAATTCCGTGAACTTGAATCGAAATCCATTGGAATAGTCCTTGGCTCCGTGGCTGAAATCGAATGAGTTTTTGGAGAGGTTGAGAGAGGTCAAGCTGGAGCAAGAAGTGAAGATGGAAGAGAGGTCTGAGATGGGTCCTGAGAGGCCATTCTCAGCCAGATCTATAGCGTTCAAGACAGCGCTGCATTGAGTTTTGGTTGATGAAGAAAGCGAGCCAGTGATGTTAGAGGCCTTGAGAGAAAGGGTCTCGAGATTGGGCAAGGACATGAGGAAGGAAGAGATAGCTGAGAAATCAATATTGAGCTGAGCATAGTTGAGGTCTATGGCAGAGACTCGAGAGGACTTGCATGTGACGCCTGTGAAATTGCAAGGGTAGTTGTTGGAGAGCCAGTCTGGAAGTGGGTTTGGGTTGGGTAATGAAGCTTTGAAGCTCAAGAGCTGTTGTGAGTCTCCAACAACAGCAGCAGCAGCAGCTGATGATGATGATGATGAGGAAGGTTTTAGAGAGAAAAAGATGAGGAAAAGGAGGAAGTTGTGGAAAGAGAAGAAAACTATAACCTTCTGGTGGTGGTGGTGGTGGTGGTGAAGAAGAAGATGTGGGTGAGGATGAGGGTGAGGGTGAGTATTCAGAGTTATCATCTTTAAAAGTTTTGGAAACTAGAAAATGGGTTAGTTTTAGACTTTCATTTCAGGTCTACCTCTACCATTAGAGAGAGGAGCTCTGACTCTGAGGGGGAATGATGTGAGTTTTAGAGAGAGAGAGAGAGAGAGAGAGAGAGAAGGTGAATGAGAAGGAGAGGGAAGGGTGGGGGTCAAAAAGAGTGGAGTGAAGAAGGCAAGAAGGGTATATATTTGGGAAGGGGACGAAGAGGGGAGTGGACACAGCTGTTGCTCACATGCCATGTGACCCACCTCAATCACCCATTTTCTCTCTCTTCTCTCACTCATTTTTCTTTATTTTCTTTATTTATTTCTCTGCAATTTTTTTTTGGGTTCTAATTTCCCACCTCCAGGGGGGGGGGGGGGTTGGTTTCTCTCTCCAAAGTCTTGAAAACAATCAGTTTTGTCTCTCTAGGTTTCCGCGTACGTGCGATTAAGGATGGATCAATCGCTGTCTATTTTAATGGGAGATTCCATGCTCCCTTCTTTAATTGATTATCTTTCTTTACTGCATGATCACGAGGCCTTAATTAAGGCAAGTTTTGTTTTAAGTTTCTTTTAAGGCCTTACTTATTATTTAATCATCATCGTCATCATATCCCTCCTCTTTTTTGTTCCTTCAAATCTAACCCAATATCAACCAATAAAAATAAAAATAAAAATTGCATTAACATGACTTTTGTTTTTGACTCATGAAAACACATTAAAAAGATGGATGCTCCAATTTTATCCCTCATTTAGTTGATTAAGATATGTCAAATATGTTTAAAACATTTTAAAAATTACATATTTTGTATGAAAATTAATAATATATATAATATATAATCTTTCTAAACTTTTTCTATTCTAATGATACACTTTAATAAGATTCTATTTTTACTAATCAAAAAAATTATGTTAATATACTGAATTTATACTCCTAGAACGATAAATATACTAAAAATCTAAAATTTTAAACTTACAAATTTATCTTAACGTGACAAATTAGACTTAAATGCGTAATAAAATAAAAGTTAGCACCTATTATGCATCAAATTGAAAGAGTTACTTTAGAGATTTTAAATATTTTTCACTTTAAAACTACTAAAAGTTAGCACCTATTATGTATCAATAGTGTTTGAGTATTTTTGGTTAACCATAGCCCTCCTAATTTTTCTCCAAAGCAATCACATTTGAAAAGAAAATTTTTTATAATATCATTGTTACTATTAAATATATCAGTGATCTCGATCACTCAAATTACACAAACAAAAATGGATGGAATTATTTTATTTTTAACTGAACCAATTAAAATGAGTAAAGTTAACCTTATCTATCTCATAATTATTATTTTTATTAACAATAACAACTTTAAATCGATACTATGGAATTATTGAATAATAATATAGAAGTGCACAAACAATGCAACCTACTTTTCATTGAATTGAAGACTAAGTATCTTCCATAACTTTAGTCGTAAAAAGTGTGCATATGCAACATGTTGAAGACAAGTTCAAAACTTGCACGGGATGTATGCAAGTATGTGGAAATTTGGCTTAGTTATTTTGTGATAAGGGTCATGTCTTCTCTCAATTATTCGTTTGACCGGTACTCCCTCCCCACAACTTTCTTTTCTTTTCTTTTCTTTTTTTTCAATTTTTTAAACATGACAATACTCATACATATATTATAAGAATCAAACACAGCACACACCACAAAATCATTAGAGTTTTATTTGATATTTTGTTAATTGTGCTAGGTTTTTGTAATTAGTAATTTTGACAAAATTACTTTCAGTTATAATTTTATTTGTTCTTTCGTTTTAGTAAGGATGTGAGTGTTTAAATGCGAATTCAACACGAACTATGCCTATGCGAAAGAGTTTGTGATCTTAATCCTTTCATGTTTGTCACTTCTCTAAATATGTATGGAGGTCAAACTGCTAAGTCAAGTCACTTTAAAAAAATTGACAATAACAACTATGGGGTATGGTGGTAAATACTAAAATGATGGTAGTGCCTATAACCATGATAACAATGGTGATGAAAGTGGAGATAGTGGTGGTAGTGGAGACAGGTGGCAGTAGTTGTCCTGGTCGTGTGATAAGCCAGCTGTGGCAATGACAGTGGTAGCAGTAGTACTAGTGATGACGACAATGATGGTGAAATTATAAAAGGTATATATTAATGCTTATGTATAAGTATTTATAAATTCAGTTAGTATTAAGTTAAATTTATATCACTTAAAAAAATTTAACTTCTAACCTCCATTTTAAGAGTCACTTAAATTTTTAAATGAAAATGAATTAATGAAATTTTACTTAATACACTTAATTTTAAAGTGTTAATAAATTAAGTTATCAAACACCACCTTGATAATATACTTTCACTTATTAAAAAAAAATTGATGACAATGGACCCAAAGTTTGTTGATTACATAAGGATGGTTTCACAAAGGTTAATATAGTTAAAAAGTTTAAAAAATCGTTAAAAGAATTTCAACTCATACCAAAAAAAAAGTTAAATATTTCTTCACATTCATTCTCTTTTTTACACGTTTTTTTGTAAAAAAAAAAAAATTTTTTAAATTCTTTCTTTCTTTCTTTTTTTAGAATGGGGAAAAAAAATTTATGACAAAATCGATAAAGTATCGAATCAATCTAGTACAGTGGTATCACAAGATTTCAAGAAAAGATAAAAAAATTTATAGAAACAAGGATCCAAGCCTCCATAGAGGAATAGAAAAGGCCCTCACAAAGGGAGGGAAACAAATCTCCATACAAAAAATATTATTACATTAACAAACTAAAATTTAAAAAAAAAAAAAAATAGATCCTAGTCGTCACCAAACGCATCCAAACTCCACTGCTCCGCAACTTTTAACTTGGAATCTGAAGGTCTCACCTCCGCTAGTCAAGATAGAACATTAAGGTTGAGGTAGTCACCTAGCGTGAAACAAAGGCATTCGGACTATGAGAAGATCTAAAAGCCAAATCTTAAAATTTTGGATTCGAGAGTAGAAAAAGTAAGGCGATGATGGCCGGACTGGTGAGTCAAAACATTATATCTAGAAGAGGATCAGAAAAAGAGAGTAAAGAGGGAGATCGGAGAAATAGGAGAACCACTGCCGTCTCCCTCTCCCCTTAAAGGAAATTTAGAGAGAAAAGAAAGAGAGTTTCAGGTTTAAAAAAATGGCGCATTACACTAACAATCCCTATAGTTTGGAGTTTGTGTTATTATGGTCCTTGACTTTTCAATTGTGATACACTTGACTCCTGAATTTTGAATCACGTTCCAAATAAAGACAATTGAAAACATTGTTGCTCAATTTGAAAGGTAAAGTCGTCATACAACTTATTTTATATTTGTTAACTTATATGTTATTTGAAATATAATGGCCTTTTTTTTTAATGAATAATGTTGGAACTTTTTTGATTATAAAGTTCTACTTAGTTTGATTTTCAAAATCTATTTTCAAAAAAAAAAATTAAGAAACTAAAAATTAAATTGGTGAAAAAAAATTAAAAACACATAATTTTTATATAATTTTATCTTTTGGGAGGGTAGAAATAATTTTTTTTAATAAATTTTTTGGATATTTTTTTTCGTTAAATTAGTTTTTATTTTTTCAAAAGTCAAATATGGTGACAATTTTGATGTCATTATTAAACCAATCCATTAAATCAAAAAATCAAAAACTAAAAACTTTTCGTATATTAAATATACCGATTATACATTAGAAGCCTAATAAGCATCTATTACATGATAAACATCCAAAAATATCTGTTAACAACAAATACAACCATCTATTACATGATTACCATCCAAAAATATCAACAAAAACAATCACCTATTACATGATCATCAACCAAACACATACTAAAAATTAATTTGGTAAAAAAAATTGAAAAAATGAAAATGTAAAAGGTTTATCATTTGTATATAATTTTATCTTTGATAAGTAGAAATAATTTTAAAAAATTTTAAAATATTTTTTTGACATTTATTTTTGTCAAACTAGTTTGTATTTTATCAAGTTGGTGACTTTGCCCTTGAAATAAAAGGATAATATCTTCAATTATCCTTATTTAAAACGAGATTCAAAATTCAAGATAAAATATATCATAATTAAAAAATTAGAAACTAAAATGATACAAATTTCAAACTATAGTGACCGTTCATATAATTCACCAAAAAAAAAAAAAAAAAATTCTAACCATATTGATTCTTACGTACATATTCCTTACTATTTATTAATGCTTTTATCTCAAGAAATTATATATTCTGTTTATTTTATAAATGTTTTGATTTTCCGTTTCTAGTTACTCTCAAGATTAATGCATTAGTTTGACCACATATATAATGATAATAATGGATATTAATAAGAGACAAACCTTTTTCTATCTTGCAAACAAATACTACCTTAAAAGTCTAACATAGGTATACAAAAGTAAGAGGAGTTTCTTCTAACTATTTTGAACAAGAAATAGCAATTTGTGGAAGAATATATTCAATTTTCAAACGCCACTTCATCATAACAATAAATAGCAACCTCTAATATCTACCCACTTACCACTCACCACTTACTTTGGATTAGTGGACTTCATATGCAGAGCCCATTGATTCAATGGTTTATTACACAATTGAGACATGATTTTGCAGTATTATTTAGGATTATATGATTTGACATTTTACATGCTACTAACAGCAAAATAATCTCATATTAAGTGTTACGCTCTATTAAACATATTTATTATGTTCTGTGAGGTTTATTACCTAATATATTTTGAGGGTAATTGGACACACAAAAATCGGCTTTTACTTAAAAAAGAAAAAAAAATCAAAAGTTAAAAAATCGCAAAATCATTTGTCATTAGCTAAAAATATAAAGAAAACCTCCTTTTAGTGTCATATGAGCATCTCCAACCCACTAGGCATATCATGCTTGTTAGTCAAAATGCCTAGTATAACTCATTTTTTTCAACTCCAATGCACTAGGCGACATGATTTTGCAGTATTATTTAGGATTATATGATTTGACATTTTACATGCTACTAACAGCAAAATAATCTCATATTAAGTGTTACGCTCTATTAAACATATTTATTATGTTCTGTGAGGTTTATTACCTAATATATTTTGAGGGTAATTGGACACACAAAAATCGGCTTTTACTTAAAAAAGAAAAAAAAA